ACTGTATTGTATGGATGTGTCTGTGTCTGTGTCTGTGTCTGTGTTGTATGGGTGTGTCTGTGTATGTGAATGTGTGTCTGTGTCTGTATGTGTGCCTGTGTCTGTGTCTGTGTCTGTGTTTCTTTTGAGTATTGTGGTTGTGTCTGTGTTGTATGGGTGTGGCTGTGTTTGTGTTGTATGGGTGTGTCTGTGTCTTTGTTTGTGTTATATTAGTATGTCTGTGTCTGTGTCGAATGGGTGTGTTGTATGATTAGTTATGTGTGTTGGTTTTGTATCTCTCACACGTCGTGTATATCCGAATGGCAACTCCACATCGTTTTTTTTGTTTTTTGCCAAAATCCTATAAAAAAATGGCTTTATGAATTCATTTTAGCAGTCGTATTACATGCCTTTTGTGCGTTCATTGATCCTTTTTGCTGCTGCGTGTATGTGCCCCGTACGCCGTACAGCTGTACACAGGTTTTAGGGTTTAATCGGTGCTTAGCCTAAACATAGGTTCCTTTCGCACTTATACCAGTCCACGGCTATTCGCATACTCGATAGCGTTCTGTGCATAGATATAGCTCCATCCTGCTTTAAATATAACCCTATACCGCTATATATATTACCCCATCCCGCTATACATATTGCCCCATCCCGCTTAAAATATAACCCTATACCGCTATACATATTGTCCCATCCCGCTATAAATATAACCCTATACCGCTTTGCATATTACCCCATCCCGCTATACATATTGCCCAATCCCGCTTTAAATATAACCCTATACCGCTATATATATTGTCCCATCCCGCTTTAAATATAACCCTATACCGCTATGCATATTAACCCATCCCGCTTTAAATATAATCCTATACCGCCATACATATTACCCTATCCCGCTTTAAATATTACCTTATACCTCTATGCATATTACCCCATTCCGCTTAAAATATAACTCTATATCGCTATACATATTGTATTCCTATACCGCTATACACATCGCCCCATCCCGCTTTAAATATATTCCTATCCCGCTATAGATAGTACCCCATGCCGCTTTGAATATACTAGGGGCGAGTGACTTGTTATTCTAGTCCCCATTTTTAGTTCATACAAAGCTCTTAGTATTCACACTGCTTCAATGCGTATGCCACAGGCGTGTATATGTGGACCTAATGTGCTTCTGCCCGAATCTACCTACCACGCTGTATAGCTTTCCTAATATAAAATATATTATATATCACTCTCTCATTCGATTAGCCTGATATCCCTCTTTCCATATGCTATCACAGGGGTGTGTGTTCGTTGATCCGGTGTGTTTCCGCCTGTATCTACCTACCACACTACAGCTTTCTCAATACATTGTCTTTATTATGTCACTCTCTCATTGTATTCGCCTATTATCCCTCTTTCCATACGCTGCCACAGGGGTGTGTGTTCGTTGATCCGGTGTGCTTTTGCCTGTATCTACCTACCACACTGTACGGCTTTCTCTATGCCGTGCCAGCGCGAGTGGCTGATTGGCCACGGTTTGCGTTTATCTCACGCAATCTCTATCTCAATAATGTACTGAAGCGCAATTTCTGGTATGTCATATATTTACGTTAATTTCTGGTATGTCTTACTTTTACGTTAGTTTCTGTTATGTCAGGTTTATGTTTGTGTTTATGATAATGGTTATGATTGTCCTGATTTTGTTCAGCTTCATTCTGTTTTTGGTTTAACAACGACAGCAAAGCTATGAAATTTCTGGTATGTTATCTTGGTATAATAGTCTGCATATATGTACATGGACACATACATATACATATATACATATATACTAAAAAGTGCATGTATATGTACATATATGTTAGTATGTATTATGTATGTATGTATGTGTATATATATATATATATATATATATATTATATAAACATATCTTCATACATAAATTCTCTTTCATTCTCATACTTTGCCTAATATTAACTCTTCCAGGTGGTATCAGCACGTTGTGTGGGAAGATGAGTTACCTGCAAATATGAGTGTGTGCCTGTCGGAGGTATGTACTACCTGTGACACTCGCACTTTTCGTGCGGGAAGCTTATATAGCTAGTTTAGTTGGTTAGTTTTAGTTAGTTAGTATGGTCAGTAGTAGCGAGTTAGTATAGTTATAGTGTGTTATTGATTAGTTAGTATTGTTGGTTGTCGTTAGTTCATGGTTTTTTATAGTGTGTAATAGTTGGTTTTAGCTAGTTATAGTTAGTTAGTATAATAGTTATAGTGTGTTATTGATTAGTTAATATTGTTCGTTGTCGTTAGTTCATGGTTTTTTATAGTGTGTAATAGTTATTTTAGCTAGTTGTAGTTAGTTATAGCTAGTTAGTATAGTTATAGTGTGTTATTGACTTGTTAATATTGTTGGTTGTCGTTAGTTCGTGGTTTTTTAGTGTGTAATAGTTGGTTTAAGCTAGTTATAGTTAGTCATAGTTAGTTATAGTTAGTTTTAGCTAGTTAGTGAGTTACTCTATAGTTGGTTGTGGCTAGTTAATGTAGCTTGTTTTAGTTAGTTGTTGTGCTTAGTCATAGTCATAGATATTAATTATTTTTGGTTGTAGTTGGTTAATATAGTTCGTGTTCTTTATTTTTAACTAGTCATAGTTAGCCTCTGGACTGTCGTCACCACGAACACATAAAAGTAGCTAAATGCGACGAACACAAGTGTATTTATACAAATCTATACACATTTGCGACACGATTTAGCACCTCAATACGACTATCTAATTTGCGACACGGCTGAACATTTGCGACACAATCCAACACCTCAATGCGACTATCTAATTTGCGACACGGCTGGACATTTGCGACATGCACTTAGCTATTCTCATACCGCGTTCTATATGTCCTATATCCTCCACCCCTCCCCCCCCTCAGGACGATGATATAGTCAACATAAAGGAAGTAGAACGATGGTTACGCAAGTACAACACCCCCTCTGACCGTGTGCAGGTGCTCAGCGGTACACACGCCAGTTGGCTTGCCAGCCCCACCAGGACGGCGAAGATAGTTGATACTATCAACACAGCGATAAGACGGGTGGGGGTCACGGATGCGAGTGACAGTGAGTGGGGTATGTGGGGTGTATGTGTGTTATGAGTGAGTGTGGTGTGTATGTGCGTTATGAGTGAGTGAGTGTGGTGTGTGTTACATATATGTTATGAGTGTTTGTAGTGTGTGTGACACACGTTTCTGTTAAGACGTTTATAAGGGGTGTATCCGTTTACTTGACTCTATAGTGACGAAGTAACGTGTTGTTTGTATGAGGAGAGTGCACGAGTGGTATGAACGTACGTGTTATGTCAGCGCAGTCAGTTGAATGCGTTTAATTCGTTAATTCGCATACTACAGAGTACAGTACAGACAGTTGGCATTATCAACAGGTCCGTTCATAAACGTGATGCACAGCGTGGTAGCGAATGGAGTGAGTGACTTGTGCTATGCGAGCCGTTGGGCAAATACGCACAGCCTGTATCAAACTCATAGCTATCTCGTCTCAGAAATATGAATACAAATACATACATATGTACATGTATATGAAGTATTAGCCTAACAGCTTCATCGTCCATGTGCTGTGATTGAGGAGTTGATGTGAAACATATTTTATTAAACGAATCAATAACGAACACTTCTCGTACCAACCGATTAAACATTTTTATTCTCATGCCAACCAATTAAACTCTATTGCATATCATGCCAACCAATCAAACGTCATCGAATATCATGCCAACCAATTAGCTCTATTGAATATCATGCCAACCAATTAAACTCTATTGAATATCATACCAACCAATTAAACTCTATTGAATATCATGCCAGCCAATTAACTCTATTGCATATCATGCCAACCAGTCAAACGTTATCGAATATCATGCCAACCAATTAACTCTATTGAATATCATGCCAACCAATTAAACTATTGAATATCATGCCAACTAATTAAACTCTATTGCATATCATGCCAACCTATCAAACGTTATCGAATATTATGCCAACCAATTAACTCTATTGAATATCATGCCAACCAATTAAACTCTATTGAATATCATGCCAACCAATCAAACGTTGTCTATTCCATTCGCCTTTCAATCATGCTCCTCGTTCGCCACTGACTAATCATATCAACCAATTGAAATACAATTATCTTTCCATACCACATAGACGTGCCAGACATAGCAACCGTCCAGGTAGTTCCAGCAGCGAACATGATCCTCAGCGAGGAACCCAAATATGGCATTTTACCTACCAAACGCAAAGAGCGTTCGCCGGTCGACTTTCTCCCGCCAGCCCCGCGCAGGCGACCGTGTGTGAGTGTGAATGTGTAGCTATTTATAGTTGAGCAAGCTGCAGCTTTATTCTGGAAGAGTATTCGGAACTATACCTACCAGACTATCACATGTGAGCGTGACTTGGTAGATATATACTTGAGGAAACAGTAGCTTCACATACTTGAGGAAAGTCCGGAACCATATCTACCAGGCGCATGGGAGACATATTTCAGCGATAGAGCGCAAGGTGTAGCTATACCCTTGAGAAAAAAATGGTTTTAGGGTTTTAGGGTTGTGGCACCGAACACACCCAAACAGCGGTACAACTCTATACCTACAGACGACACATTTATAAATGACGAGCGAGTATCAAATCAGCCCTATACTGATAGATAACCCAGGTGCTCATACACAAGGTAACCTTAAGGTAACCTACCCGAACAACACGCGCTTGGAGCACGCATAGGGCCGTCTATTTATAGCACAGCTCCGTGTGTTTACCTACCGCGGGGGACCTTGGCCTGATAGCTACATAGGGAGTATCGCAACTACCAAGGCCTGATTGAGTAGGTACACTCCGGTGGGCCTGAAGAGTTGTGTGGTAGAGTGCAGGATGAAACGCTATTTATAGACAGAGCAATCTATGGCAAACTCAAGAGTCACAGCCTCGGTCGACTTGCCGAGGAGTGTAGACGCTTACTATACAGTAAAGAATTTCTGACTTAAAGACAGAATTGTAAATTGAGTTTATACATCTACATCGACATAATAAATAAATAAAAATGACTTATGTACATACTTCGACACTATAGAATTTCTGATTTATGTATATTCTGCTACACAGTAAGGAATTCCTGATATGTGTATATACTGCTACACAATTAAAAATTCCTGATTTGTGTATGCAACACAGTAAGGGATTCCTTATTTGTATATGCTGTTAGTCGATAAAGAATTCATTATATATGTATATACCGCAACACATATGTATGTATGTATGTATGTATGTATGTATGTATATACGTATGTATGTATCTATGTATCTATGTATGTATCTATGTAAGTATATATATATATATATATATATGTGTGTGTGTGTGTGTGTGTGTGTG